CTACACTGTGGAAGCCGTGTAAAGCATCGTCGGCCGTCCACCCCGCGAGTTGGGGAGCTCACTGACAGCAATCAGGGACCCCTCTAACGCATTGCAGATCATCTTCCAGTTGTTGGCCGAAACCCTGCCATCCAACGACGCGCCTTGCTCAGCCACGAGGGATCGTATCGTCTCCTTGTCCATCCACCTGGCATCCTTTATCTCCGACTCGTCGATGCTGATACCCTCCTCGATTGCGCGCATCCTCACGAGAACATAAATGTCTCCCTGCCCAAAGCGAACGCCGTGGGTGTGCCGGAGGCTCACGACGCCCTCGAGCGAGGCTGTCACGCCCGTCTCCTCCATGATCTCTCTGAGCACCGTCTGGCCAAAGTCTTCGCCTGGGTCTGCGAGGCCACCTGGCATCTTCCAGCTGTTCTGGAACATGGGAATCGGCGCCACCCGCTCCTGCACCAGCAACACCTCGTCCTGGGGGGACCAACAAAAGTACCCATACCGCTACTCCCCGGATCTCTCCCGGGGTGCACTCTGAACAGAATTTCGAAGCGAATCCAGCCGTGTCGACGAGGGCCTCCCGGGAGGCCCACAGAGGCGAAAACGAGGTGAGGGTAGCGGCATCCGTCCCTTTCACCCTCCGAAGTCCTTGCTGTTCAAGACCACCCCGCCGACGCCTATCTGGGTGAAGCCGTAGCTTGGCAGCGGCGAGGGCCTCTCCGTCGGCAGCCAGCGCGTCAGCAGCACGTAGCCCGGCCTCGCGTGGTGGAACTCGAAGCCGCTCGCGACGGCCTGCCCGGCGAAGGCCGCGCTGCTCCGCGGCACCCGCAGCCACACCCCGCCCTTGCCGGCCGCCTTGCGCCCCCAGAATGTGGCCATACCCACCTGCGGCAGCGGGTCCTGTCCTGGGACTCGGGCAGCCATGGATGCACGGTCCTCGTGCTACCATCCCTGAGGTCAGGGCGTTGCAATTCAGTTCCACACTGGGGGGGGTTCGTTGGGCTTCTGGCCCCGGGACCCTCACAGATCGATTTGGATCGATAAACGACGAAGAAAGGTGGGGTCTAGGGCTCCCGTCGTGCTTTCTGGCGATGTTGATTTGTTTCGCAACGTCGGATCCCAGGGATGGGGAGCGCCGAATCAGAAACGAAAAAAATCCTTTGGCAACGGCGGCCCTCGGCTACGAGTAGCTTCGCCGAACTGGATCTAAGGAATGACCCGCAAACCAGCGACAGCTCCTTGGCTGTATGGTTAGGTCGGCCGTGTCCTCCTGCAGGCGATTCTTGAACAAACAAATTAAACAAAAATAGCCCAAACATGCTCAAAACTAATCGAGAGATCGTCCCCATAATATTTTTACTATTTAATATTCCTGTAGAGGGACACGCCCGACTGAACCGTATGGATATCTGCCTGCCCATGCGGGCGGCCAAAGATACACATCCACCACTCCTCGAGATCCCAAGGGTACGGCCCCGAAGCGGGCGGCGGGTGTGGGCATATCCCAGCGGCGGACGCCTGCCACTCCGCCAGGTGTCCCCGGAGCTCCGCACCTGCGCGGGCCACCGCCTCTGGGCATCGCTTCACCGATCCCTGTCCCCACTGGCGCGGGCCTTGGCCCACAGGTCGCCTCACCCACCCGGGTGGGGTGGCATGTGCCTGCTCTGGTGGGCTTCGCGGGCCCAATCCCCACCACCTGAGCTACCATGGTCAGGTCGGGCAGGTCCCCCTACAGGCGATTTTTTAAGAAAACTAAGCAAAATACCCAACAAATAATGGTCAAACATAGTCGAAAAAGCGTCCCCAGACTATTTTTACTATTTTTGAATATTCCTCCTGTAGAGGAACACGCTCGACTTAACAGTAGGGATGGGGATAGGTTGGATGATGCTGAGCCTCCGCGGAGTCGATCGACTCGATCACGTCCACCTCGACGCCACCGTACCTGTCCTCCTTCGGGAGGAGCAGGGGGGCACCGTGCTCCTCCGGCGGAGACGCGCCGGCGTGCTCCTCCACGCACTCGGCCAGCAGGTCGAGGGCGGCCTTGGCGAAGGCCCACATGTTCTGCTCCCGGTCGGCGTGGGTGGACTCCACGAAGACGGCCTGCTGGGGAAATCGAGAGGTGCCGATACCGCTACTCCACGGTCCTCTCCCGGGGCGCGTTCTGACCAGGATGTCGAGGCGAATCCAGCGGCGGCGACGAGGGCCTCCCAGGAGGCCGACAAAGAGGAAAACGAGGCAACGCTAGGGGCATGGGTATGTTTTCCTCCCTCGACCTTCTCGATAGGCCCGGACACGAAGATGGCGGTGAAGCCGCAGCTGATGTCGGGGAAGTTGAAGGTTGGCCCACACGCCCCGCTCTCGCTGACGCACCACGTCGCGCCCACCTCGCCCCGCTTGGCCCTCGCCAGGGAGGACGTCCACGCCCGCTTCGACTCCTTGTAGGACGGCCCGTCTGCGCGAGGCGGGGATTTATCCACATCCGCCGCCTGGGAATCGACTGTCGAATCCGCGTTCGAGGGCATGTCGTGGTTAGGGGCGCAGCCAGGGACCCCGAGTGATTCTGCAGGAGGCCAGCCGGTTTTGGAGTGACATTGGTTTTCTCCCCTGGATGTTCGTGCCGCAGCTCACTACTACTGAAGCAATCGACGCAAACGCCTGCCCTTCGGAGGGACTGTCGGGGGCCGATTTCGATGGGGCCAATCGCGTACCTGCCCCCTTGCGTTTGCTCGCGCGGCTGCTGACGTCGCGAAAGCATATGTAGAAACCCGCACGCGAATCTAAACATTGCATGGAACGCTTCAGTGCCCACTGTACGGTGGCACCCTGACTTCTAAGCGCACCCGTACTGTTACGCAGCGCGTGCCCCCTGCCTCCCCCGAACCGACTTCACATCCACGCACGCAGTCCGACCACAATCCCCCACGGACAGTACCGCGGAAAAGCAACAGCCGATACCAACGAAGAGTGAAACCAAGACGCGTCTTGATGCATCCGCCCTTGGCAGCCAACTTCAGCCCAATGTCGGGGGCGCGCAAACATGGATCGGAGGAGCTGTCCTCCCCAAAATGCGGCCGGTGCCGCCTCGTTCGGCGGCGGAAATCCGCGATTTCCCATGGAGATGGGACCCTTCGCTAATCCACGCCCCCTTGATCCATGTTTGCGATCGCCTGACTAAGGAAGCGTAAAACAAAGGCGCGTCTTCATGCATCCGCCCTTAGCATTCAGCCAACTTCAGTCCAACACAACGCTGAACGCTGAGACCAGCTTCGGGCGTTGGCAGAACTGGGTTTAAAGGGACCTGGTTTGTGTTGTGTACTGGGGGACGCCCCCCCCCCTCCCCGTTCCACTAACCGGACTTGCCGTCACCCGAAAAAAAACACCAACTACAGCAGACCTGGCCTAGCGATTCTGGCCGATTTATAGTGGCCTCCTAGATGGGGTCGGAGTAGGTGGGGTCGGAGGATCGCGCCGTATTGGCGATGCACCGGCGATGCATCCGCGACGTAGGCGACTCATCGGCGACTTCCGCGTGAAGGAAATCGGGCTCTTCATCGAGCCGCATCGGCGATGCATCGGCGATGCGGCGCGATCCTTCGACCTCATTTACTCCGACCCCATCTGGGAGGCCTGGAATTTAGGGGCTGCAGGGCCCTACTACTAATCGGGTCCTCTTACCTGGGGTCCTGGCTAGACCAGACAGCAGAGCCAGCACGTGCTTTACTACGACGGGGGCTTGGGCACGTGGCCGCTCGAGGCCCAGCCAGGGCCCTCCTCTGGTGCCTTCTCTCGGAAGATCCCCTCAGGGCACCCGCGTGGCCCTCCTGCAGTTAGGTCGGGCATGTCCCCCTACAGGCGGATTTGGGAGAGAACAAATAAAAGCATTTCAAACATGCTCAACCATAGACAAACAATACCATCAAACATTGCCCCCGTTTTCACGCTTGTGGAATGTTCCTCCTGTAGAGGGACAGGCCCGACTCAATCCTAAAGCCTTCTCTCGACCACGTTGAGATGCCCTTGAAGCCCTCGCGGGCCGTCAAAGCTCGCTCGCCCATCCGCGTGCGAGCGATCTCGGCAAGCCCTCGGGGCTCAAGCAGGCATGCTCGGGCCCCGTGAGGCCTGAGGGCGCCACGGAGGCTCCTCGAAGCCCCAAGGAAGCCGCCGGGGCACTCCTACGCAGAAGGCATCTGTACACCACCGCCGCGCCAAGGCCAGGACCGTCCTGGGCCCCAGGATGGTGCACACGCCCTCCTGGCCGAGGCCAGGAGGGCCTGTACGCCATCCTATAGGGCCCAGCATGGCCCTGGCCCTGGCACGGCGGTGGTGCTACGGATGCCACGCAGGGGGCCGAAGCAGCTCCAGGACTCGGCCCCTCTCCGAGCCCGCGGGGCCCGACGGCGCTGCGACTCTCGGGCAAAGACCGCGAGCGCATCTCCGTCGGGCCCTCCCGGGAGGGCGTGGGCGCGCGGGGGCAGCCCCGCCGCGCCCCCGCCGGCGCACGCCGTGCCCGCTGCGCCGTGCGGCGCCCCCCTCCGCGTCCTCCCCCGCCGCGTCCTCCCCCGCCGCCCTTCCGCCGTGCGCGCTGCGTCCTCGCCTGGCTCGGCACTGCAGCGGCGCGGCGGGGCAGCGCGAAGCCGTGCGAGGCAGCGCGAAGCCGTGGCAGGCAGCGCACAAAGCAGCGCAAGGCCACGATGGCAGTGCAAAGCCAGGTGCAGCCACGTGCAACGCAGGAGGGAGGAGGCGGCAGGGAGTGCGGAGCAAGGCACTGCTGCACAGCGTGGCAGTACAAAGCAATGCGGAGAAACGCAATTCGAAACAGTTGAAGGCATTCCTTTAAGGGTTGCGAATCTCTCCAGGTCTAATATGAGATGCCTTTGCATATTACTTTTCATTGAACGGCCAGCGCGGGCCACATTAACTCCATCCGGCCGCGCGACGGGCCACACTCACGTCCAACGGGCCACGCTAACACCCAACGGGCCGCAGTAACAACCAGCCGCCCCTAACCCCCTTCCTCCCCCCTCCCCAGAAAACCGGGGGGGGGGACTACTGGTTCGAACCCCCCCCCCTCCAGAAAACAGGGGGGTCACTACCAGTTCAAACCGCCCCCCCCCCCTCCAGAAAACCGGGGGGGGGGTCACTACCGGTTCGAGAACCCTCCGGGGCTCCCCCCCCACTCGCCGCCGGCAAACGACTCCCGAGTCCCCACCACCGCCCTCACCAGTGTCCCCACCACCACCGCCCCCACCTCTGTACCACTGTCCCCACTGTTCCGACCACTGTCCCCACTGTCCCCACCAGTGCCCCCACCACTGTCGCACTGTCCCCAGTGTCCCCGCCACTGTCCCCACCACGGTCCCACTCTCCCCACTGTCCCCACTGTCCCCACCACTCCCACTGTCCCCACTGTCCCCACCACTGTCCCATTCTCCCCACTGTCCCCACCACTCTCCCAACTGTACCACTGTCTCATTGTCCCACCACCGTCCTCACCACCGCCCTCACCACTGTCCCCACCACTTCTGTCCCCACCACTGTCCCACTGTCCACACTGTCCCCACCACTGTCCAACTGTCCCCACTCTTACCACCACCCACTGTCCCCACTGTCCCCACCAGTGCCCCCACCTCTGTCGCACTGTCCGCACTGTCCCCGCCACTGTCCCCACCACGGTCCCACTCTCCCCACTGTCCCCACTGTCCCCGCCACTGTCCCACTTTCGCCACTCCACCAACGTCCCAACCACTGTCCCAACCAGTCCCCCATCCAGAGTGGGGGAGGAGGGGGAGTTGTTTGCCGGCGACGAGGAGGGGGGACGGGGGGGGGCTCTTATGGAAAAAAAACCTTCCCCTTTCATGATGGACCGGCGGGGGGGAGGGTCGAACCGGTGGTGACCCCCCCCGGTTTTCGAGGGGGAGGGACGGGTTGGAAACCCCCAGTGACCCCCCCCCCGGTAATCTGCCAGCAGCGGCAGAACACGCTCTTTCGAATAGGCAGCCGCAGGTATTTTTTCATATGGTGAGACTGGTTCCAGCTAGCTTTTTGGCGTCCAAATAGCTGACTCTTCCCAAGAAGCCCACCACAGATGGAACACCTTGAGAAATGACCCCCTCTCAAGGGGAACAACCGCAAGGTCGACGGGATCGTAATTACCCCCTTCCCCCTTGAATCTCATTCCGCAAGGCCGACAGGCTCTCAAGGCTGAGTGGACTCGCCTTGCCAAATACATTGCAGCCATCGAGACAAGAGGTAGGGAGGGAGAGGAAGGAGAAAAAGAAGGAGAGGACGAGGGACAGGAAGCAGGAATACAACTTACTTGTGAAAAATAAGCCATCTCCCCATACCCTCCCCGACCTGCCGAAATCACTCTTGGCTTCCCTGGGCCTCCCCCAACCTTCAAGCGCGGACCTCCAGCGGGCGGTGGATATGGATATATGAATACATACATATATACATACATATATATATATATGTATATATAAATATGTATATATATATATAATATATATATATATATATATATATATATGTATGTGTATGTATATATATATATGTATACACATATATGTGTTGGTCCCTGGGGGCCGAATACACCCATATCCATCGCCTGTGTCGGGGGCGCGCCAACATGGATTAGCGATCCATGGATTTGGCGCGCGGTCACCAAACCCATGCTTCGGGGGAGGTGCCCTCCTCAAAGTGCGGCCGGGGCCGCCTCGTTCGGCGGCGGAAATCCGCGCCCCCCTGATCCATGCTTACACGCTCGCCTGCGACATCCACATCCGTCGCCCGTGGAGGTCCGCAGAGATCGATCCCCCGGGCGGTGGTCATCGATATGCGTCCCGCCTCGGAGCCTGGCGGCCGGGGCGCGGAGGCGTCGAAGGAGCCGAGCACGGCGCCGGCCTTCTTCGGCCCGTACGTGACCGCGCCGCAGGTCGTGTAGGACGACGCCCCGGGGCACGCCTGCAGCGCCGCCTGCACCTGCAGGGGAGCCCAAGGAAGGGCGCCGGTGCGGCGGCCTCGGCTGCACGCAGGCGCGACGCTGGGCAGGAGTGGCTTTCTGCTGCGCGGCTCCAGGGGGCCGCGGGGAGGCCAAGTCTGAGCGCGCAGGCCAGTGCTGGAGGGGGCAGGGGGGGCCCGTGCACCCGCATGAAAGGTCACTCCGGCGAGGGGGGCTCTTTCTGCGTAGACGACCACTCCCCGGAGGACCTCCCCTGGGCCGCGCCCTGGCCAGGACTTCGAGGCGAGTCAGGCCGCGGCGACGAGGGCCTCCCAGGAGGCCAACGAGGGCGAAAACGAGGCAAGGATAGCGGCATCGGTGCTTCTGCCACAAGCCAGACTGCAGATCTATCCCACGCCGTTCGTTCGTGGACTGCCCCTGGAACGCTTCGGTTCGGTTGGGTCAACAAAAGCGCAGCCGGACCAAGGACAGAAGAACACCCTTCAAGAACATGAGACCCTCCGCCGGCAAAGACACACCGAACCATAAGATCACCGAGGGTACCCTTCTCAAGGACATCCAACAAGCACGAAGAGCATTAAGGGTACCCTGGGACGCACAGAGACATACTAATACTATATGTCTGCATTGGAGGCGCGCGTCCGACTCGAACATATAGTATACCCATATTTTAGTCGGAGGTTGGGGGGTGAGATCGAAGTGGAACGGAGAGCCCCCCTACCTGGAAATCGATTTCGGTTTCGTGTTCGTGCCGTGCGTGCGGGCGAGGCGAAGCTGCGTGGGCGGGGGAGAGGAAATTCTCCTGAGGTTGGGCCGCGGCTGGACCAAAAGGTTCTCCGCCCGGCAATCGGTGGCACGCGGTGGCACGCCGAAGTCCCGCTGGTGTCCCGCTGGTGTCCCGCCGGTGTCCCGCTGGTGTCCCGCCGGTGTCCCGTCGTGGCTGGGCCGCGGCTGGACCAAAAGGTTCTCGGCCTGGCAACCGGTGGCGCGCGGTGTCCCGCCGCTGGTGTCCCGCTGGTGTCCCGCCGGTGTCCCGTCGTTGTCCCGTGGTGTCCCGTGGTGAGATCGACAGTGAGATCGATAGTGAGATCGATAGTGAGATCGATAATGAGACCGATAGTGACATCGAGAGTGAGATCTATAGTGAGAGATCAATTGTGAGATCTATAGTGAGATCGATCATGATTTCGACAGTGAGATCGATAGTGAGATGGATAGGGAGATCGATAGAGTGGGATCGATAGCGAGATCGATAGTGGAATCGGTAGTGAGATGAATAGTGAGATCGAAAGCGAGATCGATTGAGTGGGATCGATAGCGAGATCGATAGTGGAATCGATAGTGAGATGAATAGCGAGATCGATAGCGAGATCGATAGTGAGATCGATAGCAAGAACAACAATCACCACTGTTGCCCATTGCTGGCCCCCTCCCCCCCAACCTCCTTATCACCCGCAGGGTGGTCGTATAGGTATACCGCTTCTCGAGCGGTGTGGCCAGGAAGCGCCCGCCAGGACGCACCTACTGCAAGATTTCTCGGTGCCTGCGTCGCCCCTGGGGGGGGGTGGGGACGCACACATAGTATATATATATATATATATATATATATATATATATATAGTATGCTGGGGTGACGCCGATACCCTCCTCGAGCCGACCTCGACCCTGCGCCTCTCGGCTTGACCGTGGTCGATCCTGCTCTGCCGCAGGCCCGCGCGGGTGCCTCGGGCCCCGCGCCGCGCGCGCCAGGGGGGGCGCGCTGACCCCCGCGCCGCGCCCGCCCGTGCCCGCGCCCGGAGGAGGTGGTGCCTCTTCGAGGCGGCGCGCCCCGGGGGGGGGGGGTAAGCGAGCGGGGGTGTGGGCCTCCTCATCGGCTGCACGCCGTGCCCGGAGGAAGTGGTGCCTCTTCGAGGTGGCGCGCCTGGGGGGGGGGAAGCGAACGGGGGTGTGGGCCTCCTCGTCGGCTGCACGCGAGCCCAGGCAGGATCGCCTCGGGGAAGAATCAGGGCGGGGGGTTCTTCGCTGCTCTCGGCCCCAGGGGGGAAGCCTTCGCCAGGCCCCCGGACTGTCAAGAAGCGACTCAGGATGAGAAGCCGGTCCCGGGGAGAGGGTCGGGACTTCCGGGGACGCCGTCCTGAAAAAATCCGCCGGCCCCTTGGGGTCACGGCGTGTGAGGTCCCCCTCCCTAAACCCCTCCCCCGGGGGTCTGGTCCGGCCAGTTTGGAAGGGGGGGGGGGGGGGGCAAATCCATCATCCGCACACTTGGAGCCTCAGGAGGCCCCAAAACGGACCGAAAAGGTTCCAAAGGTTCCCGGAACGGTCCAAGAGAGCTACGAATCGACGAAAGGTCGCCCCAAAACGTCGAAGGTTGCCTCCACACGGCTCCAAGAGTCCCCAAGACGTTTGAAACAACATTGCGAGGCGCCCCAAAGAGGCCCTCCAGAAGTAAAAATCGTCCCATTCCCGAGAGAGACGTACATTTTCACCACATTCGCCCATTCGGCTTCTTCGCGGCGCAAAACAGCCCAAGAAGCCTCCAAGATCGACCCTCGCCAGCCCGAGAGGCTCCCAAAAAGGCTTCAAGACGGCGTCCGGGCGATCCACGAAGGCCGCCAGAAACCACAGCAACGGCTTAGGAAAGCCGCAGGACGGCCCCAAGAAGGCTCCAAAACGGGGCAAGAGGGTGTCCGGACAGCCCACGCGGGGGACGATTCGGTCCAAACCGCCCAAGATCGCCGCCAGACGGCCCCATGGGTGTCCAAGACGTTTGAAAACGCGACCACGAGGCGCTCCAAGAAGGCCTCCACAAGCAAAAAGCGTTCCAATCCCTGGGTAAAGCGTTCATGTTCAGCACATTCGCTTCTTGGGTTTTCACGAGGCCCACAACGGCCCAATAAACCTCCAAGATCGACCCCTGTCACCCGAAGAGGCTTCCAAGAAGGCTCCACGACGGCTGCTGGGCGATCCACATAGCAACGGCCCAGGAAAGCCGTAGGACGGTCCCAAAAGAGCTCCAAAACGTGGCAAGAGGGCTTTCAGAGGGTGTCTGGACGGCCCACGCAGGGGACGATTCGGTCCAAACCTCCCACGATTGCCTCCAGACAGCCCCATGGGCGTCCAAGACGCTTGCATACGCGACCACGAGGCGCTCCAAGCAGGTCTCCAGAGGCAAAAACCGTCCCATTCCTTAGGAGAACTACATTTTCAGCATATTCGCTTCTTGGGCTTCCACGAGGCCCACAACGGCCCAATAAAACCTCCAAGACCGACCTCCGGCACCCCAAGAGACTCTCCAAAAGGCTCCACGACGGCCTCCGGGCGCCCCACGAAGGCCCCAGAAACCATAGCAACGGCCCGGGGGAACGGCAGGGCGGTCCTAAGAGGGCTCCAAAACGTGTCTAGAGGGGCCTCACAGGCTGTCCGGACAGGCCACGCGGGGGACGATTGCTGCCGCCCCAAAGGGGTCGACGGTGTGGCGTAAGCCAATGAATCAAGACGCCGCCTGCCTAGGTCAGCAATATACGTGAGAATGACCCTGGGGAAGAATGTCCTCTGGTGACCGGCTTCTTGTCAGGACCAAACACAAGCGCGCAAGACGCTGCTATCACACCGCACTCGGCGTTGAGGGTGCCCTGTTGGCGCGCAAATGTCACTCCGGCGAAGGGTCTTACGTGCAGTCGATCTCAGAAGGCTCGGAAGTCCCCCGGCCTTCTGAGAAGTATTCTCTTCCCCGAAGACACAGAAAACTTCTCGGAAGGCACTGGGGGGCTTCTGAGAGCCCCGCCGCCGTCTGAGAAGGCCTCTTTTTTCTCACTCCCCCCCCCAGTCGCTCGACGCCGACCCCGTGGTTTTTTCAAAGCCTCGAACCCCAGAGGTCTGTATCCCTTCCTCGGGGCCGGCTTCTCGTGCTGAGTCGTTTTGTGCCCCCGGAGGCCGACAATAGCGAAAAGCCTCCGTCCGCGATGTATCCACAACGCCAAGGGGTCTGGGCAGGGCGCATGCGCAAGGCCGCGCCCCTCCGAGGGCCCGCCACGGCAGGGCGCGCGGACGCGGGGGCGACCAGAGCGCCGACAGCGAGAGTGCTGGCTCCTGCTGGTCCGCCCCGGGCGGTGCCCCGCCGCCCCCCCCCCGGGGCCAGCACGCCAGCGACGAGGACGGCGAGAGCGGCGAGGGCGGTGAGGCGACGACGCCGACAGCGCGGAAGCCAGCGACCCAGACCCCTCCTCCCTCCTCCTCCTCCTCCTCCTCCTCCTCCTCCTCCTCCTCCTCCTCCTCTCCTCCTCCTCCTCGTCCTCCTCCTCCTCCTCCTCCTCCTCCTCCTCCTCCTCGTCCTCTTCCTCCTCCTCCTCCTCCTCCTCCTCCTCCTCCTCCTCCTCTCCTCCACCTCCTTCTCCTCCTCCTCTCTTCCCTCCTCCTCCTCCTCCCCTCCTCCTCCTCCTCCTTCTCCTCCTCCTCCTCCTCCTCCTCCTCCTCCACTCATCATCATCTCCTCCGTCCGTTACCTCCTCCACCTCATCATCATCCTCCTCGTCCGTCACCTCCTCCTCCTCCTCCCTCCTCCTCCTTCTCCACCTCCTCCTCCTCCTCCTCCTCCTCCTCCTCCTCCCTCCTCCTCCTCCTCCTCCTCCTCCCCCTCCTCCCCCCCTCCTCCTCCTCCTCCTCCTTCTCCTCGTCCTCCTCCTCCTTCTCGGAGCACCAGGCCCCCCGCCGTCGACTCGAAGACCGCGACGCTCTGCGCGGCCGCTCGGAGCGCGGCGGCCGCCCGCGCAGCCAGCGGCGCCAGCGGCCCCGGCGAGGCGTCGGGCAGGGCCGCCGACCGCCAGGGGGGCTCCATGGGCCCGCGCCTCGGCTCGACGCGGCGCTGCCGCAGCTCAGAGCGGCCCTCAATGGCCCAGCGCCCTTCGAGCGAAGGAGGAGGAGGAGGAGGAAGAAGAGGAGGAGGAGGAGGAGGAGGAGGAGGAGGAAGAGGAGGAGGAGGAGGAGGAGGAGGAGGCTCGCGAACCCCCCTGGCTTCCTTGGGGTGGCCTCTGAAGGTGATCCTCATCGCCACGGCTGGATTCGTCTTGGAATGCTGGTCAGACACCACACACACGGGGACAGTTGAAGGGGTCGGCAGGACGACCTTGACATCATGAGGGCATGAAGTTGGCAGCGCACGAAGGGGCAGGATCGTGGAGGAGGGGACACTTGTGAGAAGCTGCGGGGAGCATGGTCTTGTAAGAGGCCAATCCCTTGTAGCAAAAACTCTGCATTTCTAGAACAGCAACTGGGCAAGACAAGGCCAGAATTGGAACAAGTCCGCGCACTGCTAACTCAGTGATCTCTGAGAGCCGACTATCACCTTCATCCATATACAGCCCTTCCCTCTGCTGCTGCTCTTCCTCCTCCTCCTCATCATCAGCATCATCAGCAGCATCATCATCATCAGCATCATCATCATCATCACTAGCATCATCCTCGCCCTCATCCGCATCCTTCAAGCTCCTTCAAGAGCCTCCTCGTCCCCATCGTCCCACCATGCCGCTTCGTTCTGAAGACTCCTCGTCGCACAACCAGGCGCGTCGGTGGCGCGGGGGGCGGCCCCTTCCCAAAAGTTGGGTTATCGCTAGAGACTTCTAGAAGCACCGAGATGCAACACTGAAACACATGCATCAATTACAAGGATGGAGGACGGCTCTTGAAAGTGGGGAGTGTCGCTTCTCCCTCGCTTGCATGGCATGGCCTGGACCTTACACCTGTGAGCGCTGACAAAAAACTGTCTTGCACAATATGTCGTAGCTCGCTTTCGCTCTCACGTACGCGGCCACGCACGCAGCATCTTACGCGGGTCAGCGACCCTCCGGCTCTGCTGGATTGAACGGATTCAACATTGCGTGGCCCGATTGCGCCGATGGGCCCGATTTGGCAGCTAGCTGGGCGGGGCCGAGCTGCGCTAACCGGACCACCAAGGGTCCGATTTGCGCAGTTAGCTGGGCGGGAGCTGTTTGGCGAGAGACGGACCACCAACGGTCTGATTTGTGCAGCCAGCTGGGCGTGGGCTGCACCGCGATAAACGGACCACAGACGGCCACTGAAGGTCCGATGCGCGCAGCACGCTGGGCGGGCGGGGGCTGTACGGCGCAAAACGGACCAATAAGGATCCGATTTGCACAGCAAGCTGGGTGGGGGCTGTTCCGCGCAAAAAAAATAAAAAAATACAAACGGTCCGACTTGGCAGCTCGCTGGCCAGGGCCGAGCTGCACTAAACGGACCACTAAGGGTCCGATTAGCTCAGCTAGCTGGGCGGGGGCTGTTCCGCGCAAAATGAACCACTACCGGTGCGATCTGCGCAGCTAGCTCAGCGTGGGCTGTACCTCGCAAATCGGACCACAAGCGATCCGATTTGAAAGCTAGCTGGCTGTGGCCGAGCTGCGCTAAACGGACCACTAAGGGTCCGACTTGCTCAGGCTCAGCTAGCTGGGCAGGGGCTGTTCCGCGCAAAACAGATCACGAACGGTCCGATTTGCGCAGTCAGCTGGGCGGGGGCTGCACCGCGCAAATCGGACCACTGACGGTCCGATTTGGCGGCTAGCTGGCCGGGGCCGAGCTGCGCTAAACGGACCACTCAGGATCAGATTTGCTCAGCAAGCTTGGCGGGGGCTGTTCCGCGCAAATCGGACCATTACCTGTCCGATTTGGGCAGTCAGTTGCGCGGGGGTTGTTCCGCGCAAATCCGGCGACAAACAGTCCGATTTGGCAGCTAGCTGGCCAGGGCCGAGCTGCGCTAACCGGACCATTCATTGGCCGAAATGCGAGGCTAGCTGGCCAGGGGCTGTTCCGCGCAAAACGGACCACGAAGGGTCCGATGAGGCAGCTAGCTGGCTAGGGCCGAGTTGCGCTGAACGGACCACTAATAGTCCGATTTGCTCAGCCAGCTGGGCGGAGGCTGTTCCGCGCAAAACGGACCACTAACGGTCCGATGTGCGCGGCTAGCTGCGCAAAACGGACCAGAAGTTGTCTGATTTTGCAGTTAGCTGGCCGGGGCCGAGCTGCGCTAGACGGAACTAGAACCACGCGCGCGCTTCGCGCGCGCTTAGGTTCTGTCGAGTCACAGACCCATGAATCGCTGTGAGAAGAAATTGGTGACGCGAAGCGTCGTGGGGGCGTCCTTGGACGTCTGGGGTCTCCTGGGGCCTCTTGAGGGGCCTCCTGGGGGCCTCCTGGCGGCCTCTTGGGGCGGAAGGCTCGAGCTTGCGGTTCGTGGTCCCCCTCTGGGCCCCCTCTTGGGCCCGTCTTGGGGCCCTCTTGGGCCATCTTGGGCGCCTCTTGGGCCGTCTTGGGGCCCTCTTGGGCTGTCCTGGGGCCCTCTTGGAAGCTTCTTGGGCCGTCTTGGGGCGGTCTTGGGCGCCTCTTGGGCCGTCCTGTAACGTCGGAAAGCCCAAAAGACAACTTTGTTGAAAATGTACGTTTTACGAAGGGAATGGGCAATTTTTGCGTCTAGGGGCCCTCTTGGGACGCATGTTGGAGGCTTCTTGGGGCCTCTTGGGGGCGTCCTTGGACGTCTGGGGTCTCCTGGGGCCTCTTGAGGGGCCTCCTGGGGGCCTCCTGGCGGCCTCTTGGGGCGGAAGGCTCGAGCTTGCGGTTCGTGGTCCCCCTCTGGGCCCCCTCTTGGGCCCGTCTTGGGGCCCTCTTGGGCCATCTTGGGCGCCTCTTGGGCCGTCTTGGGGCCCTCTTGGGCTGTCCTGGGGCCCTCTTGGAAGCTTCTTGGGCCGTCTTGGGGCGGTCTTGGGCGCCTCTTGGGCCGTCCTGTAACGTCGGAAAGCCCAAAAGGCGACTTTGTTGAAAAATGTACGTTTTACGAAGGGAATGGGCCAATTTTTGCGTCTAGGGGCCCTCTTGGGACGCATGTTGGAGGCTTCTTGGGGCCTCTTGGGGGCGTCCTTGGACGTCTGGGGTCTCCTGGGGCCTCTTGAGGGGCCTCCTGGGGGCCTCCTGGCGGCCTCTTGGGGCGGAAGGCTCGAGCTTGCGGTTCGTGGTCCCCCTCTGGGCCCCCTCTTGGGCCCGTCTTGGGGCCCTCTTGGGCCATCTTGGGCGCCTCTTGGGCCGTCTTGGGGCCCTCTTGGGCTGTCCTGGGGCCCTCTTGGAAGCTTCTTGGGCCGTCTTGGGGCGGTCTTGGGCGCCTCTTGGGCCGTCCTGTAACGTCGGAAAGCCCAAAAGGCGACTTTGTTGAAAATGTACGTTTTACGAAGGGAATGGGCCAATTTTTGCGTCTAGGGGCCCTCTTGGGACGCATGTTGGAGGCTTCTTGGGGCCTCTTGGGGGCGTCCTTGGACGTCTGGGGTCTCCTGGGGCCTCTTGAGGGGCCTCCTGGGGGCCTCCTGGCGGCCTCTTGGGGCGGAAGGCTCGAGCTTGCGGTTCGTGGTCCCCCTCTGGGCCCCCTCTTGGGCCCGTCTTGGGGCCCTCTTGGGCCATCTTGGGCGCCTCTTGGGCCGTCTTGGGGCCCTCTTGGGCTGTCCTGGGGCCTTCTTGGAAGCTTCTTGGGCCGTCTTGGGGCGGTCTTGGGCGCCTCTTGGGCCGTCCTGTAACGTCGGAAAGCCCAAAAGGCAACTTTGTTGAAAATGTACGTTTTACGAAGGGAATGGGCAATTTTTTGCGTCTAGGGGCCCTCTTGGGACGCATGTTGGAGGCTTCTGGGGGCCTCTTGGGGGCGTCCTTGGACGTCTGGAGGCCATCTTCAGCATCTCGGAGCCCTCTTGGAGGCCTCTTGGAAGTTTCTTGGGCCGTCTTGGGCGCTTCTGGGGCCCTCTTAGACCGGGGAGGCCTCCGGCAAGCCCCGACGAGCCTCCGGGCCCCCCGGAGCCCACATTTGCGGTCGAGGTCCCGGCCCCGGGCCCCCGGACCCGGTGCGCCGATATATGTATACACTAAAGGTCCGACTGGCACAGTCAGCTGAGAGGGGGCTGCACCGCGCAAATCGGAGCACAAGCGGTCCGCCGATTTGACAGCTAAGTGGCTGGGGGCTGCGACACATAAATCGGACAATACACGGCGGTCCGATTTGCGCAGTCGGCTTGACGGGAGCTGCACCGCGATAAACGGACCACAAGCGGTCCGGTTTTGCAGCAAGCTGGCCAGGGTCGACCTGTGCTAAACGGACCACTAGATGTCCGATTTGCGCAGCTAGCTGGCCACGGACAGTGCTGCGCTGAAGGACACTGACGGTCCGCCTTGCGAAGACAGCCGGGCGGGGGCTGTACCGCGGCCTGGCGGAAGCTCCACCGCGCAAAACGAGCCACCAACGGTTCGCCCTGCGCAGTCAGCTGGGCTGGGGCCGAGCTGCGCTTAACGGACCACTAGGGGGCCGATTTGCTCAGCTAGCTGGCCAGGGGCTGTTCCGTGCAAAACGGACCTCTAACGGTCCGATTTGCGCAATCGAGCGGGGGCTGCACCGCGCAAAACGGCCCACTAAGGATCCGATGTCGCAGCTAGCTGGCCGGGGCCGAGCTGCGCTAAACGGACCACTAATAATCAAAATTTGCTCAGCCAGCGCAAAACGAGCCACTGAGGGCGGGCTGTTCAGCGCAAAACGGACCACTAGCGTGCCAAGTTGCGCATTCAGCTGGGCAGGAGCTGTGCCGCGCAAATCGGGCCACAAGCGGTCCGATTTGGCAGCTGACTGGCCGGGGCTGAGCTGCGCTAAACTGACCGCTGAGGGGCCGATTTGCGCAGCAAGCTGGGCGGGGGCTGTTCCGCGAAAAACGGACCACTGACGGTCCGATCTATGCGGTCAGCTGCGCGGGGGCTGCACCGCGCAAATCGGACCACAAACGTTCCGATTTGGCAGCTAGCTGGCCG